AAAAAAGCCTCTATTTCCTACTACGGATGAGATTTGATTCCTGGTACTTTGATGCAATCAAACTTTACCAACTTAACTAATTGACATCTTGAACCTCCCAGCTATTTGGCTAATGCCCCCACCTGCAAAATGTACCACCTCCCCTTTCATAAAATGAGCTTCTACAGGCAGACCAAAACAAGAAAATGGGACTGGATCAGCAAACTAACCAGTTTGAGAACACTTCATTTGGGCTTCGGGCTTCCCTTACACATGTTTCTCCATTTTTCCTTCAAGTCTACTGAAGTTCGGCAGTTAAGAAACACTGAAGAACCAACGTTCAGAATTTCCTTCCATGGAATGCTACCACCAGCTGTACTTGAGAACCTGCTGACTCCCTCCTGCAACAGCAATAACAACTATTTATTCCCAGAAGGATTATGAGAAAAAAGGAAATTACTAAAAGAAGGAAACAAGCTTAAGTTATATGCAAAATCATGGGTCTAATTTTTTTTTTTTTTGGCCCTTTGGTCTAAAACCACAAATGGGAAAAATCTAAATGTCCAATCTGGAAGCAGCTGGAATCTTAAATTTTCAGTTATTACTCAAGACACAAAGAAAAGAGAAAACACTCTGAAACCAATCTTCTGAAAAAAAAAAAAAAGCACAATTAAATTGCAACAGTTCAATATTTGATTTCTAGAACTACAAGCTAGGAATCAATTTATGAAAGAAAGAAAATACCCTAAGCATTTGTTCTTCCTCAATTGTCCATGGAACTGCTAGGTATGTGTTGCAGAAAAATGTTCATATTTTTCACAAAGAAAATGGACAGAACATCGGTAGGAAGATGAAGAGCAGAACCCAACTAAAAATTGAGAGAAAACTAGCAAGAGCATAAACAAAAATGGAGAAGAATTATAATACTTCAACTCAGAAATATCATTGATATTTTGCCATATTTATAGCAAAAACAACATAATAAAAAATAATTTCTTCTCACCTAATATTTTACCTAATACAAGAAAATCTATCAAACATTTAAAACAAGATTACATTCAAAAGATTTGCTGCCATTTTGCAGCCCATGTGCAGCTTCATGCTGTTGTCAGTTTGCTGCTATTATGCAGTCATGTTGCAACTCTCACGTCTTTCAATTAGCTCCCACTGCTGTAGCTTTGACACCACAACTCTAACACTTGTCCTTGATGTTAAAGCTGTAAAATCAAAACAAAAATAGATTTATGCCTAAGCACCTGGGATCAGCCCTTTGTTGTCCATCTTGTGCTTGGTTTTCACATTTTTTCTCCATAGTCACGTACTGTCCTTCTCAAACAACCTCAGCTCCTCCTTCATTACAGCTTTCTTTCTTTGGATTTTGCTGCCTCAAACAAATTTGGGAGGTTTTGCAACTAAGTTGCATTTTCTGAGTAAATAAAACAAGGATTTTGGTACCTCAAAGTGCTGCTTCATCATCTTCTACATCTTCTACAGCTTTCTTGGGCTAAAGACTTGGCTACTCGGTCATGAAAATGACTTGATGCAATGTTGAGTACTCTCATGGTCCCAATCTGCACCTTCACAAGCCATCCTTGCCTTTTTGGACTAATGCTGTAGCATAAAACACCACCCATACCAGCAACATAAAACATCATCAAACCAGCATTTTTTGATCTTGCTTCTTGCAGATTTTCTGCCTCAAGAAGATTGAAGGACATTAAGTTAACCTTCAACTTCACATCTTCACATATGACAGTAGAAAGAATTAGAAGAAATTGATTGTATTCTTCCTTGAATCATTCTGTACAATGATTTGATGTTTATATATATATTTACATGTAAATGTCTAGATCCTAAATTATTGCCTAGTATTAAGCAATACTACCGTTGCTATACATTTTGATCATTGCAGCTATTGCTCCTTGGATCAGTCTTTGATTGCTTTGATATGGTTTCCTACTTGGATGTGATTTCCGCATCTGTTGTGATTGTTTCCTTACTCATCCTCTGCTGTGATTCTACCTTCATACTCCCCCTCAAACTATAGTGGGGTGAAGCAACCACACCTAGTTTGAATCTTACCAATTGATATTGTGAGGGAGGTAGGGGTTTTGTAAGCACATTAGCGAGCTGTTCAGTGCTAGGAATGTACCTAGTCACTAGAGTACCAATGGCCACTTTCTCTCGAACAAAATGGTAATCTAATTCAATGTGTTTTGTTCGAGCATGGAATACAAGATTGATAGACATATGAAGAACATTGATATTATCAGAGAACAATTGAGGAGGTGATGGTAAAGAAATTCCAATGTCACGAAAAATATACGTAATCCATACTATTTCAACAGTAGCATGAGCCAATGCACGATACTCTGCTTCAGCAGTAGATCTCGCCACAGTGGGTTGCTTCTTTGAGGACCAAGAGATACAATTTGCTCCAAGAAAAACACAATACCCTATAGTACTTCTTCTTGTAGTTACACAGCCTGCCCAGTCGGCATTGCAAAATCCTGTCAAAGATAAGGTTTTGTAGGAGTAAAAACGAAGCCCATGATGCCGAGTACCTTTGATATATCTCAAAATACGCTTAACTTGTCAAAGATGAGCTAGAGTAGGATTTTGCATAAACTGGCACACTTTATTGACGGCATGGCAAATATCAGTTCTAGTAATTGTTAGATATTGGAGAGCTCCCACGATTTTTCTATATTCCTTGGCATTCACAGGTTCCATGTCTCTCAAGGTAGTAGTTTCTTTGGTGGCCAAAGGTGTTGCAATTGTTGATGCTTCTAACATAGAGGTTCGACCAAGAAGGTCGGTGGCGTATTTTGCTTGCAAAAGAAAAGTACCGCCACCAAAGGGTGTGACTTCAATACCCAGGAAGTAGCTAAGTTGCCCAAGGTCCTTAAGTGCAACTCCCTACTAAGATGGTCAATAATACTTTGTAACAGAAGTTCTGAACTAGCAGTGAGAACAATGTCATCAACATATAGCAAGAGTAATGCAGTACCTTGATTGTTATGGAGCATAAACAAAGAAGAATCAGCTCGGCTGCAACTAAATCCCATCTTCAAAAGATGCAATGTAAATGTATCAAACCATGCCCTCGGAGCTTGTTTGAGGCCATAGATGGATTTATTGAGTTTACAAACATGGTTAGGATATTTTGGGTCTTCAAAACCTGGCGGTTGAGTCATGTATACTGTCTCCTTGAGTTTTCCATGGAGAAAGGAATTTTTCACATCCAATTGTCTAAGAGACCAATTCAGAGTTGTGGCTAAGGCAATGACCAGGCGTAATGTTGTAGGTTTGAAGACAGGACTAAATGTTTCATCGAAATCAACCCCTGGTATTTGAGAAAAGCCTTTGGCTACAAGGCGTGCCTTGAACCTTTCTATACTTCCATTTGGATGAAGCTTGGTTTTGAATACCCATTTGGAGCCAACAATGTTTGTTGAGGATGAAGGTGGTGGCACTAACTTCCATGTTTCGTTCTTTTGAAGAGCATCTAGTTCTTCTTGCATTGCCTTAACCCAATGTGGAAGCTGTAATGCCTGTTGAACTGATTTAGGTTCTTGAGTATCCAGACCTACAAGATTCAAAGATGAGTCATTACTCGTCATAGTATGTGCATGCTTGGTAAATTTAGTTTGAACATGTCTTATATGAGTCCTGGTCATCATAGGGTGATTAGATACTGAATTAGCATTATGTACTGGTGGTGAAACTCCTAATATAGGTATTTCAGATGTTCCAGTTGATTGATTTCCATTTGATGTTATAAGGTGATCTGAATTAGGTGCTCCAATAAGTGATTGAGAGGAATCTAATTCTTCTGTAGCACCATGGAATTGAACACCATCTTCTTTAGAAGAAGTATTAATTTCTTCTTGACATAAATTTGGTATTCCCGTTGCCATCTCAAGTTCAGTTCTTGTTGAGTCTTTGGTGCAATCAGTGTTCTCTCCCTCATTAGTGATGATAGTAAATCGAGAAGGCATCTGAGATGTAGATGGTTGCTTATCCAAGTGCTTCAATGGGTGTAGGTTTGATTTAGATTGGCACCACTCATCATAATCAGGATATGTGTAAAGTTCCCCATCTGTACTAAGAATACTTGAAAGTTTTGTTAGATCAGTATATGGCATATAATATTCATCAAAAACAACATGTCTTGAAATATAAATACGTTGGGTTGAAGGATGTAAGCACTTATAACCCTTGTGTATAGGACTATACCCAATAAAGACACATGGTAGAGACTTAGGTTGGAGTTTATTAGAAGCATAATCTCTTAAATAAGGAAAGCTGCGGCACCCAAAGACTTTAATCATAGAATAGTCAGGAGCTTTGCCATAAAGTAAATAATATGGAGTCTTATTGTGTAATACAGGAGTAGGCATTCTATTAATAAGGAAAACAGCAGTAGAAAAGCTATCAACCCAGTAGCATGATGGCATGGAGTAACATGGTCAAACCTGTCTCAACAATGTGTCTATGCTTCCTTTCAGCAACTTCATTCTGTTCTAGAGTACCAGGGCAGGACACTTGTTGCTTAATGCCACATTCTGCTAGGTGATTAGTGAAAGCCATGCTAGAGAATTCTCCACCACCATCACACTGGAAAATTTTGATTCTTCGGTTAAATTGATTTTCTACCAGCTTCTGAAATTTTAGGAAAATACCAAAGAAGTCAGATTTCTTAATCATTGGATAAAACCATGTGTACCTGCTAAAATCATCAACAAAAATACATAATAGGTAAAGTGGTGGGATGACTGAACTGGGGAAGGCCCCCACAAGTCACAATGTATTTTTTGAAGAGGAAAATATGTTCTTTCATTATTTCTAGAAAAAGGAAGCTTACAACTCTTCCCCATTTGACAACTGGTGCACAAAAGAGGGTGCTTAGTCCAATTAGATACAGAAATATTATTCTTTGAAACTAGAGTTTTTAGAATGCTAGAATTTGGATGTCCTAGCCTCTGGTGCCAAATGGAATCAATAGCTTTATCTGAAATAATAAATAAAGCAAGCTTTTCTCCTTCAGCCAATGCGTAGAATTGACCATTCCTAGTTCCTCTTGCTAAAATCGCTTGCGTTACTTGGTCCTTAATCACAAAACCATTAGATGAGAATTCAAAAACACATGGATTTTCATCAGTAAATTTACCAATAGAGGGGAGATTTTTCTTAAGTTTGGGAACTACTAAAACATCATTAAGTTTTAAAGAGCCAACAGTAGTAGATCCAATATGAGAAATTTGCAAAGGAGTGCCATCGCCTGTAAAAACTTTTTGTTTTCCATAATATGGTCTCTTAGTATAGAGTTTACCTGAATCTGAGATCATATGGTCACTAGCCCCACTGTCAACATAGATATTCTGATCTTTGTCTTCCAGTAGGCTCAAAGTTGCAAGGGCTTGAGGCAACTCTTCACATTGATATGCATGATCAAATCTGTACAAGCAGTTCAAAGCAGTGTATCCTACAACGCCACAGATTTGACAGCTATTCTTACCTTGTTGTCTTACATTCTTCTCTTGAGATTTATGTGACATGGGTTGTTGTGGTGAAGGATTATTGTTAACCATTGAGCTTTTGTTGTTGTTATTGCTCGTCCAATAATTATGGTAATTCCCAGCTTGAACAAAGCCTCTGCCTCTAGAATTGAAGTTTCTGCCACCACCATAGCCTCTGCCACGTTGATGTCCTCTCCCCCTATGTGCAACAAAGGCTTGAGCATAAACTGGAATTTTGTCCTTGTTTCCTTGTTCTGCATTTTGCAAGTCTCTTTCATTATTTTGTAAACCTGCAATGTATTGAGTAAAAGTAGGATATGGGGCTTTTGATAAAACAGCAAGAGTATAAGGTTGAAATTGTGCTCCAACAACCCTGGAAAGTTGAAACACCTTGTCTAAGTCTTCTAGAGGCTTTCGAATGGCAGCCAAGTTATCACAAGTTCTTTTGAATTTTTTGATGAACTCTTCAAGAGGTTCACCATCTCCTCGTTTAACCGCCAACTATCCTTTGAGATGCATTTCTTGCTCCTTTGTTGAAGCTAGGTAATGATCTTTTAAGCTTTTCCAGATTTGAAAAGCTGAGTCACAGCCAACAACAAGACTTAATGCTTCTTCATTCATAGTTCCAAGTAGCCAACTTGTAAGCAGCCCAGCATTATTTAGCCAGACTTCATACTCTGGATTGAGCACTTCTTTTGCATCTTTGATCACTGTCATTGTTGGCGCCACTTCCTCCTCAAGGTGATGCATAATCTGAGCACTCCGAATCAATGGATAAATCTGTGATTTCCATAGAAGGAAGTTTGAGCTTGACAGCTTTAGTGAAACCAAGCTTGCCATTTGGTGGAAGCTTTGGATAGTAAGCTTATTCTTATTTCTAGCCATCAGTCTGATTTTGTTGAACTTGATATGTGATGTAAAGGAGGCTATTTGTGAAGAAAAAAATGAATTTAAGTATTCAGATGTAGGTAACCTGCTCTGATACCAGACAATAGAAAGAATTAGAAGAAATTGATTGTATTCTTCCTTGAATCATTCTGTACAATGATTTGATGTATATATATATATATTTACATGTAAATGTCTAGATCCTAAATTAGTGCCTAGTATTAAGCAATACTACTGTTGCTATACATTTTGACTGTTGCAACTATTGCTCCTTGGATTAGTCTTTTATTGCTTTGATATGGTTTCTTGCTTGGACGTGATTTCCATATCTATTGTGATTGTTTGCTTACTCATCCTCTGCTGTGATTCTGCCTTCATAACATACTCTCTCCTGCCTTAACAAATTGGTTGCATCCTTTCATCAACCACTTTCAAAGATTGAAGGACCTAAAGTTAACCTTCATAATCACAGCATCTTTGCTACATTTTTTGTCAGAGGAGTTTGCTGTGTTGGGTCAGAAAAAAAAAATTTTTGAAAGAAAAACTTGCTGGAAACTATTTGGGTTTGGCCGGAGTTTATGGTGGTAGATTTCTCTCAAATCACTCTCATACAGGCCCTCAAAGATCATGAAAGGCTCTGATACCATGTTCATATTTTTCACAAAGAAAATGGAGAGAACATCGGTAGGAAGATGAAGAGCAGAACCCAACTAAAAATTGAGAGAAAACCAGGAGTAGCATAAACGAAAATGGAGAAGAAGTATATTACTTCAACTCAGAAATATCATTGATATTTTGCTATATTTATAGCAAAAACAACATAATAAAAAATAATTTCTTCTCACCTAATATTTTACCTAATACAAGAAAATCTATCAAACATTTTGACTACGGATGACTTTGATTTTCTTTCCTTTTTCATGGAACTGTAGATATTCAGATGAACGGTATTAGAAAGACATTTATGAGCTAAACTGTCATTTCATGCACTAGTTTTTATCGTCTTGACTTGCTAGTTTGGTTTCCTCTTGTGCGTTAAGAGAACATTATAATTATTATTTTAAAAAAATAAATTTATCATTAGAGGCAAGGAGATGACGTTGGAGTATCCTGCATGTTTACTATCCTCAAGTTTTGGTCAGTGCACTTGATGCACAGGTAAACTGTATTATTTGGAAGGAAGGAGAAAATTTG